GAATTAGTGAAAGGTGTCTCTACCTTTGGAGCATGAATGGGTTCAAAGCCCACCTCATACTACTAAGTATTTGGCTGGACACTACCAGTTGTGTGTGAAGCCTGTGTGTGTGAGTGTGTGTGTGTGGGTGGGCGTGTGTGGGTGTGTGTGGGTGTGTGTGGGTGTGTCAGTGTTTGTGTCTCCAGACCTGAGCAGCAGATGCTTCTTCCTGTGGTAGCATGTTATTCAGAACCTTGGATAACCCCCAGCCCTCCTAAAAATGCAATGCATGTAGGTTTTAAGACATTTATCCTGATGATTGGTGAGAGCGTGGTGATTGAAACCAGCTCATTTCCTATGTACCACTGAGACCTGCTCAGCTTTGCTCAAGAGGGCTCTTGACTCTTACTTTGTAGCAGGAGCTCCTAAGTGAATCAAGCCTTTTCAAGAGTTTCAGGTAGAAAGGCAAGATATCTCACGTTAGATCCAATGTTCAAATTTGAATCGGGCAAATTCTCATTAGAGACAAGGGACCAAAGACGGTGCTGATGGAATCTAGTGTCTTTTGATGTTGACTTCAATCCATTAAAGCTCTTGTGAAGCCATTGAACTGTCACATTGGGCCTGCGGGAGGGAGTGAACCCTATGCAATTAGAGGTCCGAAGATTTGGATTTGATTTCCAGCCCTGTGCCAGTCAGTCAGCCACTCACTTTCAAGTGACAAGCCTTAGGGGGGTGACTTTCTATCTCAGTTTCTCAATTTCTGCACAGGGATTGCTGTGGGCCTTAAGGCCCACTAGGAAATGAACCCTTTTCCAGCTCAGTGCCTGGTTTCTGGAGTCTACTTGTCAATCTGGATTTTAATACACCTATGCTTTTGGATGAACTCTGTTACCTCTCCTAGAAATTAGCAGAGAAAATTGACAGTGGATTGACAAGAATGAGAATCTGTTCTAAAGAATTCCAATAGAATGGAATCCTTTATTACTAAAGGAATGCTCAACTCAAGTGGACACAGATACCTCATTTTGACTTCATTAGCTATGGCACTGAGGCACAACTTTTTGAAACTACACAGCTAAGCTGTCCGAGCTCTAAATACTGGAGAAGTTTATCAGGATACACACCTAAAATGGTCCCTGCTTTAAGTGGTTTAGGGGTGTATTTTGAAAAAGTTGCGTGCTCTCCACATAAAAAGCTACTTTTGTTGTTACTTTTGGTCCCCAGGAGAAATGGGAGTCCTTTTCAGACAGCATGGGAGACACATGAGTCCCTCAGAGTCCGCTTGTCTGCCTCGGAGGGTGCAATGAGGGTGTGAAGCGCTTTGGGAGGTGTCGAGACACACAGGTAGGCTTGCTACAGAGCAGAGCTTCACGCTTGGGGTGTGATCCTTGTCATCATGAGCCATGTCTGAACGAATTAATCACGTTTCATAGGCAAGCATGTTCTCCGTTTGACTGTGCTGTTGTTTTGAATCAGAGCAGCCTCAACAATGCTTCAACTTGATAGCCATGAATAATTTCGTTCTACGGAATAGCGTGTGGGCTTGAGGAGGAGGCAGCGTTGGATTAGAAGGAGGGAGAATGGGCATGTGAATTAGGGAAAGGTGTCTCTTCCTTTGGAGCATGGATGGGTTCAAATCCCACCTCATACTACTAAGTATTTGGCTGGACACTACAAGTTATGTGTGAAGCCTGTGTGTGTGAGTGTGTATGTGTGTGTGAAGCCTGTGTGTGTGTGGGGCGGGGGAGTGTCTGTGTTTCTGTCTCCAGACCTGAGCAGCAGATGCTTCTTCCTGTGGTAGCATGTTACTCAGAACCTTGGATAACCCCCAGCCCTCCTAAAAACACAATACATGTATATTTTAAGACATTTATCTTGATGACTGGTGAGAGGGTGGTGATTGAAACCAGCTGATTTCCCACTTACCACAGAGAACATGCTTGCATATGAAATGTGATTAATTCATTCAGACATGGCTCATGATGACAAGGACCCCACCTCCATGGTGAAGCTCTGCTCTGTAGCAAGCCTACATGTGTGTCTGGATACCTCGCAAAGTGCTTCACGCCCTCATTGCACCCTCAGAGGCACACAAGAGGACTCCAAAGTCTCATGTGTCTCCCATGCTGTCTGAAAAGGACTCCCACTTTTCCTGAGGACCAAAAGTAACAACAAAAGTAGCTTTTTATTTGGAGAGCACACGACTTTTTCAAAATACACAGCTAAAATGGTCCCTGCTTTAAATACTTTAGCACTTAAATCATGGACCATTTTTGGTGTGTATTCTTAAAAACTTGTCTAGCACTTAAAGCTCGGACAGCTTTAGCTGTGTATTTTCAAAAAGTTGTCTCTCAGTGCCATATCTAATGAAGTCAAAATGACGTATCTGTGTCCACTTGAGCATTCTTTTTTTTTTTTTTTTTTTTTAGACGGAG